TATATACATGTATAAATACACTCACAGTCTTCGGTCTGTTGATTTTTCCTCCGGGAGGAGACATGTTGTTTCTCACGTGGAGCTTCTTCTTCTGCGTTTTGAATCATCGACGCACTTCCGGGTTCTTCACTACCGTCATCTTCTTCTTCTGCCAGGACACTGACGTTCAGCAGCGTCAGCGCCTCCTGCTGCGGTGAAGAGAGAACTACAAAAACTACAACTACAACTACAACTACAACAACTACAACTACAAAAACTACAACTACAACTACAACTACAACAACTACAACAACTACAACAACTACAACAACTACAACAACTACAACAACAACAACAACAACAACTACAACAACCACCGTGTTTTCACTCAGAGATCAACCAACAACAACATCATCATTATTGTTATTAATAAAGGCAACAACACCAATAATAATATTTATAATAATACTATAACAATATGAATGATAACAATAATCATCATCACAGTGAAGTTTTATTCATGATGACATGAACATGTTGATAAAAGAGTTTTTATTTTTCTACAAAGAACAAAAGAAGAGAAATAAATCAAGTCTTAATGAAATGAAAGTTAATGAGTTCAGTGGCTGCTAACTTTCTGTTCTATGTTCTCGAGACCAAACGCAACGATGGACGACACGACAGCTCCTGTAGGTGAAGCCAGAACACCTGGATCGCCCCCTGGTGGCTGGAAGTGAATCTTCTGTGTTTGAACTGTGTGTAAGTTTTTAGATTTCCATTAGAACAAGTGATGTCCAGAGATGGTTTGTGGATCAGATGTCTCAGAGGATCAGTGTCCAGCAGCAGTTCACATTCAGCAGGAACCATAAAAACTCTCCACATTGTAAGTGGCTCATTTTGCCTCCGTCCAGATAAACGTGGTCCGGCTGCAGCTTCAGTCAGAGAACAAGCTGAGATCCAGGAATCTGAGCAGAATCCACGAGACGTTAATGACGTCTGACACAACATGAGCTGACTCCCACTGGTGAAGTCGCTCTGAGGGTCTGGGATTAGTTTTACATGTCGGTTTTCTTTCTGCTGATTATTCTTTCTTTTCTTTGATTCGAGTGTTGGACGAGTTTCAAGCTTTGATTCGGATCCAGAAACGGATCCAAACTTTCTCTTTTTTTCTTTAACAGCTTCTCTCTCACCCGAACGAGAAAAGATTTCAGACTCTGTGACTCTGCTGCTGACAAATCTGCCCCAAACAAAAACACTGATCCACAAACTCTCTATTTCTCAGGAGGCTCCACTTTGTTCTTTGTGTTAAAAACCAGGAGCTGTGGATTTAAATCTGAGTCCAGAGCTACAACCTTTGACCTTGAGGCTGTTTGAGATGCAACAGTTCATCTTGTTCATTGTTTAATTATTTATCGATGTTGTTTATGACGTCTTAGGTTTTAAATCCGAACCAAAAGATATTTTGAGTTCATTGTTTCAATAAAACAGAAAATCTGCAACAACAAAATGATTTTACTTGAAAAACAACATAAACGCAGACAGAATCTATTTATAATTTATGTTAATCAACTTTTACGCTTGATCAATTGTGTGAACTGTCCATTTTACGCCCCCTGGTGGCCAAAAGTAAAACAAAGTATCTATTTTATTAACCCATTGGAGACAAATAGAAAAACTCTGCCACTAAATGTTTAGGAGATAGAACCCTGGGGAACCCACAACTTAGAACTTACAGATGAGAACAATAACTTCACGTCTCTTCCCTCGGGGGCAGAAAATAAAGAAGAAAGTAAAGTTCCCATCACTTCAGCAGGTTTTATTTGAGTTCTTTAACATGGACGACACAGAGACAGAGCAGCTTCTGTCAAATGTTTAATCCGTTCAGTACAGGGTGTTAATCTCAGTGCAAGGGCCACAAACAACAATATCCAGCCGTGTTTGTTTATGTACAAATCTGAACTTTGGCGTTGAGAAGCAGAGCGAGTCGTGGAGGAAACAGAGACGACGAACAAAACATCTGGACAACATCTGAACAACAGCAGCAAAGAAACAAACGTCTGAACAGAGCGAAGAACAAAAAGAAACACGAAAGACGACTGTCGTTTTTTCTTCATTTCAATCAACCACAAGAACAATGAACATGGTTTATATATTTATATTTATATATCTAAAGTGCATTATGGTACAAAAATATAGAGGGACAGCAGCACCTCGATACATTTACAAAATAAATACACCATTCAGACAAAATAAATTACCGCAAAAAAATCTGACATAATTGGAATAAAAAAAGAGAAAAGCGAGGATTCACAAAGATTAAAATCTGTCGCCCCAAAGAGCATCAACGCGTTTTTTTATCATATTCTGCGATATTTAGAATATTTACAGACAATAAATATTTTACAGTTTCTTTCCAAACAATCACGATGACACACGAGTGCAACGTGAGTGTTTAGGAGTCCGCTCCACCCCCCCGCACGGTTCTGAAACACAAAGACACGGAAAAGACGAGTGAGCTTGAATCAATAACTTTAGATCAAACAGAAACAAATATCAGTTCTAAAGTTTCCATGAGTGAACAAACGATCGATCTTCATCAGATTTCTTGGATCAGTTTGATGTTTAGTTTGTATTCACGTCGAACTCACCTTCGTCAGTGTGACAGCGTTTTAGAGCAGCGCCCCCCGCAGGCCGAGCAGCGCCCTCCACTCCTCCTCCCTCTGACCTAATGAACGCACCCTCCTCTTCCTCTTCTCCCCCTCCCTCCTCTTCCCGGCTCGTCCTTTCTTCTTCTTCTTCCCGGGAGACTTGAACGTCGGAGACTTGTTGGTTTCCTGCGGCAGGTTGGTTCCCTCCTCGTCCTCCAGGCCGAAGGCGACCGGAAGGTTCTTGGTTCCTCCGGCGGGTTTGGAGTGCAGGGTGCTGCCGGTGGTGCTGAGGTTGATGCCCAGGCTGACGCCGGGCAGACCCCCGCCGGCCCCGCCGCTGCCCCCCCCTGCCCCGACGGTTCGGACCGGGAGGTCCCGGATCTCGGCCGTGTGAACTTCGTCCAGAAGCTCCTGCAGCCACATGCGCCGCTTAAAGTCCTGGAGGGCGCGACCTTTGTCGTGCATCAGCTGAGCGTGAGTGACGGAGCGTTTTCTACAGAGAGAGAGAGAGGACACGTTACTCACAAGTACACCGACAAGTACACCAAGTACACTGACAAGTACACCAAGTACACCGACAAGTACACCGACAAGTACAC